ATATAGATATATATATATATACTCTCTCTCTCTTTCTCTTTGTTCGTCAGAACATTTCAGTGTTCTTCTGATGAAATGCCTATAAAAAACATGTCATGATGTTACAGGAAGAAGTGGTTGATGGCTCCCTTGAATTTCTCATCCTTGCAAGTGATGGACTGTGGGATGTTGTTACAAATGAAGTAATCAAAATACTTTCTGTTTCCATTTTCTTGAAATTTAGGGTTCCAATATCTTACTGGAATGGATGTCCTGTTGTCTAGGAGGCAGTCGCAATGATAAAGCCAATTGATGATCCAGAAGAGGCAGCGAAGAGATTGATGCAAGAAGCTTATCAGCGAGGGAGTGCAGATAACATTACTTGTGTTGTCGTTCGTTTCTTAAGTAGCCCGAACAATAGCAGCTCTGAGCAGAAATGACGCCATGGATCTCCATGTACTTATCTGATAACTGACTTCTGATAATATGAATTCTTTTTGTTAACACATATACATCAATTATGACCTTTTAGTCTGTGGTGAAGATAAAAATTTTTCTTTTAAGGGGGTTTTATAAATTAATTTTATTATTTTGAGAGGCACACATAGTATTTTCGTTGGTGAAATTTTAAGAAAAAATACTTTATAAAAATTTAAGTGTAGGCTTAGGCTTCATTTGAGATGGTTTTTTTATTGATATTTAAAATAATTTTTAGTTCCAAAAATTTTTATTAAAAAAAATTGTACTAAAAAATTGCTTTTAGAGAATAATAAGTACAAACGAGTCTGGACAACTCTCTTATTCTTTTTAAAGTAATATTTTATTCAAAAAAATTTGCTTTTAGAGAACAATATTTTATTATTAGATATTTCACTTAATAAATTTGTTTATTTTAGTTTAACAAGTATTAACAATATTTTATTAACTTTGCTTTATCACATGGTCCAATTTATCATGTGACTTCTTTTCCCATGTGAATAAAAAAGTTTATATAAATAAAAACTATGCTAACATATAGTGTCTATGTGATGTGAGACTAAAAAATTTAGGTGAAGTTCTCAAGTTTACTATACATATACTATATATTCTACATAAATTTTTAAATTGAAATTTAGTAATG